CACTAATGTTGTTTGGAGATCATATGAACACGAATCAAGCCATTCTCTCTCCACTGAAAAAACCCCTATATCAGACAAGATAACACCACTCCCACCCCCTCAATGAGTTTTAGAAATTGTGGGCATATGCAGAAGATGTCTCCAGGGCAGGAGAAGTCTGTGAGAAGTCCAAGGCAGAGCAGAGATATTTTATCCAAGGTTCAAACCCCATCTGCCCCAGCCAGGCACGAGGCTGGGGTGTCACTTACATTGAACAGAAGAGCAGGGACTGGTGTGAAGCACTTTATGTGAATCAAGCTCAGACTGACAGGGAGGTGTCCTTCTCTGGCTCCAGCATAGAAAAGCCTAAAAAAAGACTAAGGAAACTCAACCATAGAAATAGCTTTTTGCTTCCTGACAAAGCAAAGAAATAATTCTTTTATGACTCTCTTATAAGTGCTGCTCTCTTCTCAAGTTGCTTAATTTTATCAAATAGTGCTGATCATGAGAAGACATCTGATTGTAACAATACCTCCATCATAAATGTATGACTTGACATAGCAAAAATTATCAAACAGTAGTAAAGAATGCAGATTAATGATTCCTTTTCAATTATTTAAAATAAATCTTCTATTTCATACCGAGATGCTGCAATAATTGATGAGTTTAAGCCACTATAGCAAGACATGGCCACTGCTATAGGAATTATCCACTTGGCATGACTAAGGGTTTCACCTCCAAATGTCTGTAACAGAAAAAAAATAACGGTGAGGCCCTCTATGTTAGGCACATGGATAATTCTGAGAAACTGTCATGAAAACACATCATCCCAAAGATAGTGTCATAGCCATGCTTTTCTATGACATACAATAGTGACTTAGAAACCTAGAATTTGGAAAAGCTGATCAGCATCAAAATAAAATTGGCAGATACATTAAAAAAGATTTTAAAAAATATCCAAGCCTAGATTAATTCAATGATGGAAAAGAGGATGGATGATGTATTGACTTTAAAGTATTCTGACAAATCCCAACTGTAGTAATTAATGAGTTACCATTTTATTTCTGTATAAAATATTGATAAGGTTTTAAAAAACATTTAAGTGCATACTTCTGCACTAAAAATATTGCTGTGGTTGTGCAGTGCTAAACATTACATACTGAACATTAGAATGATAACAAAAAAACTCGTTCTTCAGCCACCCAGATTTTCTATAGCTCTTTAATCCTGGCAAAATCTTTCCTATTATGTAGTGTTAATAGCAGGATTTACAGAGTATAAAAGACAACTTTTCAAGAGTATTTTTATTGGATATGTTCTTGATATGCATCTTCTAATATACTGGTAGTGTTACATGAAAAAATGTTTTAAGCAGCCTTCAGCATGACAGTATTTCAATTGTTTGCCAAGCATGCTGCCTGAATTTGGTTTGGGTTACGTTCCACAACTTACCACAGCCACCGCATCACTTGTGAGGAGAGCTGACATGTCCAACACTACATAGTATGCTATATTAGTCAATAAGTAAATAATAGTTACAACAGGCATTGAAATTGCAATAGAAAGAGGTAGGTTCCTGCAAAAGGAAAATGGAAAAAAATTATTCCATGTTATTTAAATGAGAAATACTTATATAGAAGATTGTTCCCAGAATGGATTCCACCATCATGTCTTATAATCCATCATTTTGAATCATGGAGTTACAAAATAACATGCAGCCATGCATGAAACAATGCCATAAAAAGTTTAGTTTGTTGCTTGTGTGTCTGTCACAAGTTTTAAAAAAAACCAAAAACTTAAAACATTCATACATGAAAATTTAATACACTCTCTTTTATATACAGCAATTTAAGAGAGCTCTGAAACAATGAGATGTAAGTGCAGACTTAGGTATTTTCTTGATTGGGGCATTTTTTTCCTGACTCATAGCCTATGCATGTTCCACGACAAGATGGACTATACCAGCTTGAGTGGCTGACTCAAGCCAACTCCCACAGGACTGACATCCCTACTGAAGGAAGGAAATGGTATTTGCCCATGAACAATAACGCTGAAGATCTCATTATAAAAGCCATAATTCTGACACTGTCTTACTCTACTGGTGGCAAAAAAATGTCTTGGAAAAATAATTCCACCTAACTGAAATGATGCAAGGAATTTTAGAGGGCTAGATGCATCTTTGCTTTTCCTTGCTTTCAGCAGGGATTTGTTCTCCTTCTTTAAAAGTTTTAGTCTGAAGTATAAGATGTAAAATACATATAGACAGGTAAATTATTCATTAGTGTGATACAAGTGATAAATGAGCACAATAATCAGAAAGAGTTCTCCTACTTACTCCTTCATTTGAAGAGAAGGGAAAATAATTTGACTAATCAGCAACAGAGTGGCTTGTGCTGCCATCAGCTGTCAGTGGTTCAAAGGAAAAGCCTGTGTTTACCTCTCAGGATTCTGCATTTCCTCGGTGACATAGTTGAGCGTGTCCCATCCTGAGTAGGAGAAGAGGGCAGAGTAGAGAGCCAGGGCGATCATCCCTGGGCTTGTTGCTGAGCCCTCAAACGGAGCTCTCAGGTTTTCGATTTCCCCTGTACAAATGGCAGGTGCCAATTGGCTGTTACATTTCAAGGACTGCACCTTAGAAGGGTGCTACACCTGAAGTGTCAGCTAGCCAAAAGGAAATAACACCCCACTGCATCCAGGTTTCATTACTGTATCTAAAACTGCACAACTTACATTTTTAATTAACAAACAAGAGAGTTTCAGCCAGATGTTCAGACAGCTACACTTGCACAGGGAGAAAACAGAACATTTTCATGTTTTTGTTATTTGGATGTGACTTTTGGTAATTCTACCAGAATTCACAGAGTCGTCTTCTGCCATTGTTGCTGGCCCTACCGAAGGAGGGAGCCATACCAAAGGCATGCAGTACCCTGCCAGCCAGGATGAGGTATTTGGCAAAGCCAGTTTCAGTTCCTGAATCTGTCTCATAGTTCTTCCTAATAGCTGTGCTTTTATTTCACCAGATGAATTAGTGGCCACTAGAGGGGAACCTCCTTTAGGCATTGTTTTCATGGGGTGCTCTGACCCATAAGAGTGTTCCCCAAAACTACGAGGCGAGATCTTTCCTTCCAAAATTCTGCTTTAGTTTAGCTCCATCGGTTGAGATGACAGCCTGCAGAAGGCTCCAAAACAGGCAAAATGTTAGTGAAACTGCATAAGCCTTCACTGCCATCCTGGAAAGGGGAAGAAAAACCTTACTGAGATTGGAGAAGGAAAGTCTACAATCTAATGAAAATGGAAGTGGGTTAAGTATTAAGAGAAGACAGAAACATGCTGAAACCTCAATTAGGAAAGAAATTAATGTCTTTTTTGTAAAATGAAAGCACTTATTCAAGTAAGGCGTTTATAGATACTACAAAAGCAATTCAGTCATCGAAGAGCAGGAGACTGTTTAAACCAAAGAAGAGAAGCTATGAGATCTACACATACTTTGAAGAAGCAAATAGTTGGAAGGTGAAAGAAAAAAAAACCCAAAATGTTCAAGAAAAGTTTTTTTGGTTTTTTTTTTTTACTAAAGACAGCTCATACTCAAAATCAGATATATTTACAGTCTTTTAACACAAGAAGTATATCCAAGCACATCAGAAAGAATATGCCAGGGCTAAAACATCTTTTAATTAAAACAGCTGCTGAGTTTAAAAGGGTCATTGACCTGATCACAGCTTCCTCCAGAAATCTACATCATTCCTCCTCTCAGTCTTTCCTGTATTTAAGTGCTCAGTTCTGCTTAAACAAAGCAGAGATGAGACCTTTACTGCCAGTAAAAGCTCTCAGCATTTCGTGTGGCTCACCATAATGTTTCCTCTATGCTTCAACCCTCCCTGAGCCCACGGAGCAATGCAGAGGGAACAAAATGGGCAGTGTGTGGGACCAGAGGGAGCAGCCCCTAGATCCAGCATCACACCAGTGAGCAGGAGGGAATGCAGTTTTGAAGGAGGCAGTTTGAAAGCAGGGGCAGTGCTGCTACAGGGTGACATCACAGAATCACACTTTTGCAAAACTGCAGCAGTTTTATGAGGGGAACTACTCCATGCAAGTGTGACCCTTAAGCAATGCTGCTTCTCTGAATCTTCATGTCTCTGCCCTTAGGGGTGGGTTTAGTTGTCCAAGTGTCTTCAGACTTCAACCAACTCATGACAACTGACATGCAGAGGTAATGGCTTAGACAGACAAGAGAACTTTCCTAAATTCTAATGTAGCTTTACAGTGTAACAGCTGATGCAACTGCAGCCAAGGAAAGGAGGAAGCCAGCAAACATGGAAAAGAAAGCATGCTTGTTAGGTTTTATAAGCTAATTTAGTAGGAGAAAAAGATAATTCCTAAACTGAAGAGGGGAAACCACCTTTATTTCAATGGAATAAAGGTGAAATGGCTATGACATTTAAGACTTTCAAAGGAAATGAAAATGTAAAAACCTTAGTAATCCGGGCAGCAGAGGTAGAACTGGAAGATAATTCACTGTGCCAGAGGCCCAAATTAATAAAATAAAATCTATTGCCATATGCAAAGCTCTGACATAGCACCAGACTAAACTGCTCTCCAGCTTTTCAGTGTGTCCAGTTCAATCATGTTATTGCTGATAGGAGGTGGCTCATCTGCCTTCTGATGCCTTACAGCAACACCACACCACAGTGATTCACAGAACTGCAGTTACAGTCTTTGTTTCTCCCACAAATCCCAGCTGTGATTTACCCTCTCTGGTCCTCTTCTGGGCAGGGTTCTTTGGCTGGGGGGTGGTGCTGGTGGGGTGAGGTGGGGGAACTGTAAGGAGCAATGCAATGTTTCCCTGTCCTGTTATGGGACAGGTAGTAATGCATGAGTCAGACACTGAGGCTGACTTGAGTAACTAGTCAGCAGTAAAGTGATGTTAATTCAGCTGCTATTTGCTATTCAGATCAAGCAGCACAGGGCTTGGCCTGAATAATTAACCCCCATATTGCTTAACAAGCCATAAAATACATCTGATCTTCCTATGGCAGACTTTTTTTTTTCTTTCCAGAATAAACAACACTTCATATGTAAGTCTTAAAGATCTCCCTACCTGGATTTTGAAATCATCATACATGATTAATTTCATAGAATTTAGGTAAATGAAAATGATTCTTACCTTTGCCAATTTTGTAAAGGCCAACAGATATCACCAAGATAAGAGCCATGACTTTTGCATATGTGAAAACATCTTGTACACGGGTACCCCATTTTACATTAACACAGTTAATAAATGTTAAGGAACCTGCAGAGAAAAAGAATATGCATGAAAGGAGCACTGGATGTTTAACATCACTTAAGTCATATTTAAAACCCATCTATCCAGATACCACTGCCCTTTCAAGGAGTAAAACTGAATCAAATTTCACCACTTCAGGACTACCCAGATTTATTGAAATGAAATACCTGGTTTAAAATTTACACAATGAATTTCTGAAGAATACTGCTTTCATGACAGTACATAAGACAAAACATATCAGTGTTTGAACTTTAGGACTAACTCCTTCTCCTTTTAAATAATATTTAAATTTTATTAAACTCAACAAGAGCTGTTTACATGCAAATGATAGTATTTCTTTATATCCTGTATATCAAAAATTTCGTCATGCTGAGTCAAGCTCTAGTTTTGGTACAGAATAAGGACAAATCCACAAAACCAGTTTGCATGCTATGAGAAGATACTGAATTAAGCCAGGCTTGCATGCTATTACTCTGTGCTTATCGCTTAGAAGTTGTGTCATTCACAATTTGGCCCCGAGTCTGAAGATTGCATAGCACACACTTACAGAGTCCTCTCAAGTCCCATTTTGACAGAATCTAACAAAAATACCAAAGTATTTGGTTGCAGTGTGGGTGGGATCAAACAGTTTTCCTTTCCTCCTTTTGCCATATTCTCTGTAGTCAGGTTTGTCCCTCGGCTGGAAGCAGGTCCAGCCAAGGGCTGAGCCATATGCCCACCTGCTCTCACTCCAGCACACACAGAGGGAAACACAGGCAGCTTCTCCCTCTTGCAATCCCATGACTGCAGGAAAGGAAAGGTCATGGTGTGCACTGGTACCAGGCAAGAAGCCCAGCTGCTGGAGAAGTGCGAATGTGGCATGGTCACCCAGAGTGCTCTCAAGCGTGGATCAAAGTGGGCTGTTTCTTATCTAGAAGTCTTATTGGCCCTTGCTTCTGTTTCCTATAATCTAAACTTCAGTTTTGAAAGGAAGAAAAAGGGTTTTGTAATGCTCAAACCAAAAATAATTTAGAAATCATTCTATACAGTAAGGGCACTAGCATGCAACCACACATGCTCAAACAACCTCTTGTCTTCATTTTCATAAATGGATCTGTGCATGTGACAGTGTCCTAACAGCCAGTTAGGCCAGTGAACCATAGACATACATGTATCTTTAATCAGCAGTCACAATTTCTCTCTGCCAAACTGTAATTCTCCTCTCCCCTCTAGCAATATAAGCCCCAAACACAATACATCTGAATAAAAGATTATTAGTTCCTAAGAACATGTTTTAGATAGGTAATAATTATTTTCACAGAATGCAAAGAAATAGAAATTTAGAAAAAACCTTCTCTGGCCACATACAATTACAGTTCTTAACTTCTGGCAATCACTACTTACATATACACGCAGCTGCAATGAACCTGACTGCATCATACGGTGGCTCACAGTGGGGAAAAATTGGCTGAACAATATAGTTAGCAAATGTGATTGCTATCACGGCCTGAGTTGTTGGTTCAATAATTAGCAAGGAAGACCAGAGTCGGATGAAGGCCACAAAGGCCCCAAATGCCTCCAGAATATAGGCATAACTGCCTCCAGATTTCATGATGGATGTTCCCAGTTCAACGTAACACAAAGCTCCAAACAGGGAAAAAATCCCACCAAGTGCCCAGATAACCAGCGAGAGTCCATAGGAAGCACTATACATTAAAACACCTCGGGGTGATACAAATATACCAGAGCCAATCATGTTCCCTACAATTAAAGAAACTCCATTTAGTAATGTGATTTCTTTTTTCATCTGCATTTTTTCACTTGTCTCTGCCATATTGTCCATTTCAGCTCTTGCATTCTCAGTTCTGGACATTTTATTGCAGCATATTTGCCAAGGGGTTGGCATCTTCAAATCACATTACCTGAAAACAAGAGGAGAGAACATTTTCTGTAATGCGTGTGGCATCAGAGGTATGGATAAAATAATTAACATACAAGGTACAAATGATAACAACAAGAAGTATTTTGCCTGATTTTATCTTGCAAAATTCTGTTCCCAAACAGCACACTACTGAATTTCCTTAACTTTCATGGCTGCATACCTTTTCAGTGCATAAATAGGAGGCCACTGTCTTTGGTTATAGATTCCAAAGGTTTTGTTAACTCTCAGTTCACTATTATTATTTATCTTGAATTGTAATTCTATGTTATGGTATTGAAAGTATTTTAAGGAAGGAGACACTGTATCCCTGGAAACACATTCTAATACAGCTATCTGTATCTTCTACAAGAATACCTCTTCCTAAAATTTATTCTTATCTCAGAAGGAATTTTAATTTCATTATTATTTGTTTCATCAAATGACATTCACTTGAAAACTGTTCTGCTGGGAAACACCAGAGCAAAGACAGAAAAAGAGTCTCACAACCTCTAAATGTAAATATGAGGGTAAAAAAAAAACCTTTTACTTTTTGCTGCAGCAGTGAATAATGCAGCTTGGTTAGCTATTAACCTCACTTAACTCAGGAGAAGCCACCAACATTCATAGGGATTGAGTCTGGAACACTCTGTCCCTGGAATGCTTCTGTGTAAGAGAGTCCAACAAAACATCCTGTAAAAGCATCTCCCTCTGGTGCTCGTAGGACAAGACCCAAGTGTGCTGGGAGATGGGAAGAATGACCTGACTGCACAGCTCCATGGATCACTCTGCCTTGTGCACACATGCACTGCTCTGGGGCTGAGGTCCCAGGGATGAGGAACCCTGGACTGCAGTGTCTGTCTCAGTTCTTGGGTCCTGCTAATGTATAAGGGTGCTTAGACCAATGGCTAATTTTTGGTGTCTGTCTCAAAAGATATTTGTTTCTCCTTCCCTTTCCCCCCCCAGACATACTGAAAGCACTCCTAAATATAATTTCCTCAAAATCCTATGACCTAGATCCAAGTTCCCTAAGTAGAACCAAGCTCATCCATGCAAACCTGGCAAAACAAAACCCATTTGATTACAAATGTTTACACACTACATTTACACACTGCATATGGTTCATAAATTTATGTTGTCAAAATGTGGGTCAATGGCCAGATTAAAACGATCTGCCCTCCCCAAAGCTCCTGAAAGGTTTGCTTTCCTTTGTAAAGTATGACTGTTTTAGCAGCCCTGAATATATTATAATTCTATGTATTCCTTCCCAGCTTTTTTGATGTAACTCACTTTTGTAATTTATCAAATAGCAAATGAGGCCTGATGAGTACTAAAAATTAAAAGATGCCAAATCTCTTTAAAGATTACATGCTCTTCTTATCCCAATTGCACTTTCCCTAACCACAGGAACACTGTGGGAACACTGGAATAAAGTTAAATATTAACGCTTGTCAAAAGTGTCCAAGCATGACTGCAGTCTACCATTTTTTCCACTGACCTCCTCATCACACACACAAGTGACTCCTGCTACTTCTCACATCATTCCTGTATGAATAAAAGACATCATCCTGTTTTGCAAAGAGAAATTTCATGCATCCAATACACCATTCATATATCTTCCTTTAAATTCCAGATGAGCCTTACCTGTTTCCTTCTGTGTAACAGAAAAGAGGAAAAAGTCACCCTCCCCACCCCAAAATAGAGGCCAATACTTCCAGACCCTCCAGCCTCCATTTCTGTCCTTGATGGCTACATGAAATATCAGCAGAAACCCCTCCCATGATGGCAGCTGTTTGTAGAGTTCATCATGATAGTACCATGCTTAAAATCTGGGCATAATACTCGTTTTATAGCATAGCTGGTTTAAAATGATTGCATGCTTCTTATGCTTGATGTACGATTTTTCAAAATTTTTTTTTCAGATTTTTAAATGCAAGGTCTGGCTGTGAGCTGAAATGCCCAACTATTTCAGTCAGCACAGCTCAAAGGATGTGGGAATTTAAAATGCAGTTGTTACCCAGGTGACGTGAATGTGGAACTGTGCAAGAAGTGATCAAACCCAGTGACTATCACTTCTCCTGAAATGAAGTCTCACTGATAGGTAGGACACAGCTATTTTCCTGTAGAAAATAATACATCAAGTAATTGGTAACTTATGTACATGGTATCAAACCTGAACTTGGATGTCTGGTGCAGATGGCCTGCTAGCTAAAGGGAATTTGATCATTTAAACTGGCAATGCTATTGAAGCCTAGTAGCACTTTTACAATCAGCAGCTTTCATGAGAGCACAAAGGTAAAGTTTAAATTATATTCTTAAGTAACACAATGTTTTGCATATTTTTCTCTTATCTCTTGTGCTGCCAAAAGATTATTTTTGATTTCTAAAAATGTGTAACTGGAACCGTGTAGGGAAGTATTTCTTCCATAAATAAGCGACTGTGGATGAAACCATTATGAAAGGAAAAACAATTAGAAGAAACAGTTTAAAATTCAGCAATTTGAGGCGTGACGCATTAGCAAAACTTTTACCTAGACCCTCAAATAAGTCCACAAATAGGTATGGCATGAGAATCAAAGGGTTAGAGATTCAGTTTCCATAACCATGAGGTTCAATTTCACTTAAGTAATTTACATCACATGGAAGTAGAAATTTTTGAACAAAATTTTTTAAACAGCTTCTGCCTGTCCTTCTCCACCAAGACAACAATTTCTAGCAGCTTTGACAGTACACTGATTTCATTCAGTGTCTTCACAATGTTGGAGAAGTTACAGATTTCTTTATTCAGGACTATGTCTTTCTTAAATAAGCAAGATTCACTGAGTCATGACTGATGCTTGTTCTCAGCAAAGTTTTCATGCTATTAAGAAAATTAGTGGGATATAGTAAATAGTCTCCTGTACAGATCTCCCTGTGTAATAGCATAAAAATAATTTTTTTGTCAAGTGTATAAAGAATATATTGCTTTTACATTCCAGGCAATGATGAAAACTATTCAAGGATATACCCAGTGTCTGTTGTCTAACTCTTAATCTCATTTATAACTTCTGCTATTTTATTCCTACTGAACTTGGTCAATACTCCTGTCCTACTTCATTCTCATGCCACCATGACCCCTTTCTGGGACCATCACTGTTGCTTCTGCCTCGAACTGTTAAGAAGCTTAAGCTGAGAAGCTTACATGTTCAAGAATGCTTCAATAGCTCTTCTCCATCATTTCAACATTTAGGCCACATTTTGAGGGTGCACATAATTCAAGTGAGAGACAGCAAAAGCTACTACTGAGAGAGCTTATTGGGGACAACCATCCGAACTGTAAGGTGATTTCTTACAGAGGTAACCATTTTCATTTGTAAAATCCTGTATTATAATAGATAACAAATATTTACAGAGAATCTTCTACCATTCAGAGTGGTTTCCTGAGACCAGAAAATTTTAATTTATGCAGTAATTAAAAAGCTGAGGTTCTTCGCATTCTGTTTTAACATGGTTGGGTATTGTGATGATAAAATTTTATGGCAGCAAAATTACCAGTACAGGTATTTCAGTAACTCTTGAATATGAAGTCTGAAGAGCAAAGCATAAAAGCTTTCTGATGCTAAGGAAAGTCCTTGCTGTCTTGGTCCCATGGAGTGGCACAAGCAGAAGGAGCTTTTGGTTTCTGGAATCAATGTGCCAGTGTGCCTCAGAGGCCACAGCATGACACAGCTGCCAACACTTAACTCTACCTTGTGTCAGCAAGTGAGCTCTGCTACACGACTTCAGAACCCTATTTTCATTCAGGTCTTCCTTTTTCTTAGGCACTCTCTAATGGAGGGAAATTTTCCTCTCAGGGAAAACACAATACCTTGAGAGCCCAGACAGCCATAATGGCTCTAAATCCTTTTCAGCTTCATATTTATCTCACAGACGTATGTGCAAAGAGCAACAGAAAGGACTTTGGAGATTGACACCTGAGAAGTTAAGGAAAACAGGACCACATACAGGTAATTCTCAATAGCTTGTTTCTTACTTACACTGCCAAAATCATACACAAAAGTGAAGGAAGAAGGGACAAGTTGATACTAGTTGAAAACTAGAGCTGAAATCAAAGACAGTTCTTCCATAAATTACTGTAGGGCTGGTTTGGCAGGGTAGGATTTTCTCAGACACTTCCCATTCTTGAGGGGTCTACATCTCATGAGTGATTTCTTCCTTCTTAAGGAGGTAATTCACCTTTGCCAAATGATTCAGAAAAACTTGGTCAGGGAAGTGCTTATGTACTTCCATAGGAACTTGCAGACTTGTGAAGTCTTACAAATTGCTCCATAGCCTTCCAGAAGGACTGAGGTGCCTTTATTTGTTAGAGCATTTAGCAATTCTCATATTTTAATTCAAGAAATATTAGTAAATCAATAAAATCTCAAAGATCAATTATTATTGCCTTCAGCACATTCTCTTGGAAGTCAATTCCCATTTAGTCAATTTTCCATTTAGAAAGTCAACTCATATGAAAGATGTTGGAACATGCTGGACATCAGATTTCACCTCATTTCATGGTATTTTCTTTTGGTGAATTTTGTCTACCTCCACAAAATTTCTCAATAATGAAAATGCCACCAATGAATCAGGCAAAGTTAAACCAGTTAAGAAAACTGATAAACTCCCAGTATTTTCTAGTTTCAGTCAGAAAATTAGTGAGATTAAGAATAACATTTAAAACTAAAATTGAGAACGTTTAATTTTATGAGAAATTTAATTATATGTATATTAGAAATCAATGTGCATTTAGAAAGCCATTGTAAAAGTCATGAGGAATCTCTTATTTTCTCCAAGTACATTCTGGGCAATTTCCTCCTGCCTGTAGAAGATTGACCAAAATTTAAAAAAACCCAAAATATACATTTATATTAATAGCTATTGGAACATGAAATCAGATGAGCAAGCAGTTTTCAACATGACCAAAAATGTGTAGTTCAAACTTCAAAACACTACTAATGAGTATGAGCATTAACATGTCTCAAAGGGAGTATTCATAGCAGATTGTACTGTTGGACATTTCCCAATGAGGAAAGCAAACAAAACAAGATTATGCAGTATGAGGAAACAGCATAAAATAAAACACTCTAAAAATACAATACTAAAAACTCAAACATCAGAAACAAAAAATCCATTTTGATCTCATCTGAAGCAAATATTTTTCACTCAATAGGAAACAAACATATTTCCTTTTGGTTTTTAAATTTTATGTTTATAAAAACATTTAATGAATTATTGCTTCACATGCTCCCAATGCATTACTATTGTCAGAGACTGGCTTTCCCACAGGAGGGACTTGCTCCACCCCCAGCACTGCATTCCCACCCCAGAGCATATCACAGAGAAGATTTGAGAGAAAATCTACTGTAGCCCAAATCTAAGGAAAGGATTAAAAAGAGAAGCCAGCAGCTTACCAGAGGGTGGGTGATATACTTACTTCCTTTAGCAGAAAGGCTGCTGGAATAGAACAGTGCCTCTCGTAGGCTGCTGCTCTGAATCTGTTCACCAGGATGGGTAAGTTAACACCCATATGAATAGACTCTTCTCTCACTCTCTGTTTAGCCTTGCCTTACCTTCTATTTTTATTACAGTAGCATGAATATTAAAATCAATGAGAGCTTTCAAGAAAGATCTCATACTTTCCTGGAATGTGGTTTTCCCCAAATAGCCTCAACTGAGGTCATTAGCAGGCAGAAGCAGGCAACTGCTGCCTCAACTGAGGTCATTAGCAGGCAGAAGCAGGCAACTGCTGCCTCAACTGAGGTCATTAGCAGGCAGAAGCAGGCAACTGCTGCTCTCTATTCCTAAGACAGTTGTGATAGAAGTAAAACAAAAAGAAAGTTGAGGAGTGGGGAGGAAATCCTTCATCCATATGTCACTGATACCATGAATAACTAATGCAGTCTAATTCCTTCTTGCTGATTTAGAAAGCCACAATGGAAGTTTTACTAACACTAAACAAAGATTTTTATTCTGGTGGCATAACTTGCTAAACAGAAAGTCTTTCTGAAGGGTAGACTAGAAAAGAGTTGTAGTTAACTGAAATTCATAGATATTATTTAATTTCAAACAACCAAATGTTTTTCATTTTTTTTTTCAAATTTTATTCTAAGTTTACTCTATGCATTGTTAAATATTAATCAACTCAATTATTTTTCTTATATTCAGAATTATAGATCTGTGTCTTTTATAATAATTTATGACATGAGACATGAGAAACAAAACAGGCTGATCTGGTGTTAAGATCTTACTTTAATTAAACAAGCTTTAAAAAAAACCCTCTAGCATAAAAATAGGGAAAGAAAGAAATTACTTACCCAGTGTATTCAATTAGTCTTCTGAATTAATAAGTTGTCCTGTGACATCCTGTAGCAAAGCCAGTACGGTATATATCTGCTGAAACAAGAAAATAAAATCTTCTTGGCAGAGCAAAAAGTTAATGAATGCAAGAGCACTAACCTGGGATTTTTGTTTTCCGTGAAGAATGATGTTCTCGTGCCAAAGGGCATCTGGAAGGAGCTGATCCAGCAGGTCAAGAGTCTTGTCACTAGAACTGAGGCACAAGATAACAGCACTTCATCATACTGGACCACTAATCCACACAGGAAAGTAAAATATTTGAATCCAAGCGCAGATATTCCTCCAAAACACCTGAGCAGTCCAACTAGAAAACAAGCAGGAGCATAGAATCGTGTTGCACGTTCCATTCTGTAACCCACAGTGACCAAAAGGAATAATAAAAACAACACGAATCTTTCTTTTGTAAGCAAGTGCTCCTCCTGTTTCTTCATTTTAAGGTAACATCTTGTAAAAACATGCTTTTTGTCATAGACTGAGACAGCTATACAGTTAATGTTTATATGGAAATGGCTGTGCTTTTTTAAAACCCTGTTCAAAGCAGGTGTAGGACAAATTCTTTGAATAAACAGCTTTCAAGCTGTTTTATCTATGAAGGATGAGAGCTCTCTAAGTCTGTCTGAAAAGATTGCACAATTCCAGCTGCTGGCAAGTTTGTGGTTACGTACATTAGAATGTAGCAAGTAGCATTTTGGCAACGGGATTGTTTTGTAGGGGTGTTGTTCCTTGTTGGACAGAGTCTGAGCACCATGTTCCTTAATCAGGGCCTCTGTCATCTTAAATTCTTTTTCTTCTGCCAAACAATGTTCACAAACCATAGCCTAAAGTCCAGAAAGTATATTTTCAGGAATTTGTAATTACTTTCACTCTGAAATTTAAACTTGAGTTTGTGCTGTTTCTGATTTGGAGCACCAAACTGGTTTTCTGATTATACTGTGTTACTCTGTTATTCTGTTATACTCTGATTATTCTGTGTTATACTGAAGGACTTTGCTGTCAGATCACCTTTATGTTGTCCATTTATCCTGCTTCTGACCCAGCCTCAGCCCTTTGTTTCAAGTCTGTAAAGCTGCATGTTGGAACATGAAACAGTCTTTTTTCATTAATGTTTCCCATGTTCTATTGGTCTGACCCTCCTGGTTACACACTACTGGACATTTGCCATGGATTTATTTACAGGAACAGCACATAAATCAACATTGAGCAATCATAAAGCATGCATGTGCACAAAAAGGATTTTTCCTGAACATTTATTCTGTAAACACAAAATCTAGTTCCTTTGCCAAGGAAGATTACATTTAATCTTGCATTTTAAATTAGCAAAATGGATAATGTAAAGAAGCGAATGCGAGTGCCTTTGTAACAAGTTTTTCTTACTCATTTTTACAGTATTTCAGGATTTGATAAGACTGTTTGCAGTGAAGATGCTCCTGTACCAAATTTCTGTTCACAGTAATTCTTCTGTCTTACATATAAACACACATTTCCTGATTGAACAGCAAAGTAAGGCATGCTTGCCTGAATAAACCTGTGGCATTTTCTGGTTTCTTGCCCACACTACCATTACTGCTCAGGAAAGCTTTTCATACTCTGTTTCATACTGGAAACAAGACTACATCAATTATTTCCAGAGCCCTCTTCATTCATACCATTGCTCAGCTGCAGCAAACATCTCAGCAGTGCCCCTGCCAAGTCTTCTGCTTCCTCCTGTTCTGTAACTCTGCCCTCTGTGCCTCAGCTAGCAAAGGGCCCTGCAGTCCTCATCCACAACAGCTGCACTTACACTGAACCCTGATTGAAAACACACTGCCAAACACCCCCTTGCATTAGCTGCAAGACTCTGAATGACAAACAAAGGCCACCATTTGTGTCATCTTGTTAAAATCAGATCTTTGCTTATTTTGCCATGACGCTGATGCAGGAGAGAACACAGCTCACAGACCAACAAACTTCTTCCAACCACATTAACTTCAGGTATGGCAGCAAAACACAAGGAGCAGCCATTACTAAGTGGCAAGAATACCATAGATGCTAAAATACCATACAAAATCTAATGGCAACAAACACAAAATAATACGTGTAGTCCTATGTTTCTATTTCCCCCCATGTACATATAAAAATACATTCTACTTGCAGATTTTGAAAGGCTTTCAGTGAGCTGTTACAACTCAGAGAAAAGCTTTTACTGTCAGTCTCAAACATCAGCAGCATTTCCCCTTGGATTGAATAAGCAGAAAAATCTTTTAGGAATTGCAATGCAGAAGTGAGGACTATGCAAAATACTGTTAGAACATCTCTAAAACAAGAGAAGTATTGGACTGTGGTGTCCCTGTGACACTGTGGCTCATACTGACTCACACATCTGTCACCTCCACACACCCTTAGCTCTGTGTGGCCAAGCACACAACCTCCACTTCTCTTCCCCCATGCTGACCCGAAATCATTCTCCTTATGCGCTTGTCTGTATGTCCAAGCCCCAGCTGTGGCAGCCCCTTCCCACCTTTCACTCAAGGAAATTTGTGTGTGCCTTACACGTTGGAGAGGGCTGGCTGATGTCACCCAGAGTGGTAGTGTCTCTACTGGAGGTGTTACTGGGCAGGGCTCTGAGCAACCTGATCCAGTTGAAGATGTCCCTGACCATGGCAGAAGGGCTGGACAAGCTGACCCTTACCAGTCCCTTCTAACCTGAACTATTCTCTGATTGTACTCCACCATGGAGGGAGGCTCAGGGTCCAAGGAAAGAGGAGGGAGATTGGCCTGAGTTTTTATACTGAACAGCCTCAGGGTTTCCCTGGAGCCTGGGCTTTGGGCGTGGGCTTATTCAAAGCTGGGGGTAGAAAATTACTTTTTCTGCAGCTGTGCCACCTCAGGGTGATGGCACATGAAGAGGAGCAGCCCATAGTGGTTGCAGCAGTGTGACAACACCATTCCTGAATGTGACTCCATAGGGAGTTTATAATTGTAATTAAGGGAAACCAAGCTAATTCTGTACTGACAGGCAGGAGTCAGCAGGGAGACTGCAAGCTGCAGGATGCTCTTCTCCCTAACGTAGCTGTCTTACAGTGGGTTCTCAGGAAAGTTCCTACTACATGATGAATTTTAGACACATTGAAGAAATGTTACTTTGCCACCTTGCAAAACACAAACCTTATATTAAGCGCCAATAATAACAAACAATTGTTGCTTAAAATGTGATGTGCAGTGAAACACACAGTTCTGGCATCAGCTTTCCTCAGACCTCTCCCTGCTAGACATTGTTAGGTCTGCTCTAAGAAAACCACAGCCATTCATTGCACCATAATCCTGGTTTCAGCTATCTAACTTTAATTTTACAGCTTCCAGAGAGAAGCAGGATAAAAGACAAATACCCAGTTCATGTCAAAAACTTACTTTATTAAAAACAATTTTAAAACTCTGATATCCACTAAACTATACATTGTATTCTTGTGATTCAGTTCACAAAATCATATTGAAAAAAGTAAGCCGTTGGCAACCAGTAATACCCACGCTGAAACTTGAATCATTGAAATGGAGCAGATCTCACATCTCCCTATGTTTTGAAACAGCCATCACTTAGGATTTTTCATTTATCTGCTCCTTTTTATATGGTAATTTAGATATACTTCATGATTCTTGCATGTGGAGTTTGGATTTTCCCAAATTTTAGGTAGTCTGAGCAGAAATTGTAATTATTTATTAGTACTTGCAAAAATAATCTGCCTGTGCTGTGTTCTGACAAATTAAAACAAGTAATTTTTTTACTAGTTTTGAGGTCATCTAGATAAAGTCACTAAGTGCTTGTGAAATGAAGTGAAAAAAATACCACATACCTTTTCTTCTCAGGTAGCCCCGCCTGTACCTCAACGTGTTACTTTCAGATAAAAAAGGAGAGATTGTGATCTGGAGAAGGTTAAAGAGGTGATAGCAGAAGAAAGCCTTGCATATTACTTCCAGCATGGCAAGGCAGGGCACTATTGATCTTTGTACAGACCCAACTACTTATGTAGTTCATTAGGTAAATACCAAAAATAAAATTTAGAAGTTTGATCTAGCAACATCACATGAGAAGTATTTATGGCAGATGACAAAGGTAAGGGGTGGTCAGATGGCAGGTGACAAAGGCAAGGCAGGTGACCAAGGAAATGTTAAAGAGGTATTAATTGAGGCTGCCCTTATGTAGGTTCTTCCTGAATCTCATCCTACTATGATCTCAAGAATAGCTAATAAGGTTATAACCACACAATGTAAAATGCTATTGCAGCAGCCTTTCTACTATATCACTTCTGAGCAGAACAAAGATGATAAGCACAATGTCCTCCTTCCCCTTTGGCTCCTCTTTGGACTAGAATTCTTCTTATGCTGTAGTCTGAGGCACTTGCTCTGGCAACAAAATGAGAAAAAAACAAAAACAAACCAAAACAATAAATAATCCTGCAAAAATGCAATATAAACCTCCTCTCACCTACCACTCCTCTCCTGTATGCGCACCAGCATGGCTTAAGGAAAGAAGTTTATTATACATACAGCAGAACAGCCCTAGAAAAGAGCACCTAGATTTTTTTTTTCCCTCCTCTGAGAAAGAGCAGATGGAACGAGAAAAACAAACATGCCACGTTAAGATGAGATGTCTCAATCCTGTGAGATGAAATGAAAGGATGTGTATAAACAGCAAATATGTAAAATGGTAGACCTTTAATGTTTTTTCTTTGTCATGTATAAACAAAATATTTTTACAAACTGAGTCAACAACTGTCAAGTGTTTGGCTTTATGACTGCACTCCAATGTATTAATTGGTCACTGACCAAATGCAGGCTAGAAGAAGTCAGGGTCATTTCTGAGACTCTACAAAGGCACAGTAAAGACAAAGCTGCACATAAATAAAATACTATATAGAAACACAAATCATGTTGTAAGAAATATTCACATGGTTTCATAAAGAAAGAATAAATTTAAAGCTGCAGTCTTTGAGAATTAGATACAATATCTGGATAAGGCTGAAGTCCTAGCTGTTTGTTATCTTTCAACTTCTGTACTATAATTCTGGCAAATTCCTCTCCTTGGCTGTCTGAAGTATCAAGCAGTTGTCGTACTTTTGATGTCCTTGTAGGTTTGGTGCTTATAAGTTCATAATCCTCTTTCATGAGTAAAAATCTTGACAGAAGAGCATCCAGTGATTGATTCAAGCATGCTTCAGTCATCTGATCAATAATTTCTTCTCTTTTACTTTGTATCCACTGATGAGCTACATTCTGTTGTATGGTTTCCAATACAAAATCTGAGATTGGAAAGAATTAGAAAAAAGGAAGAGATTGTCACTGTCTCAACAAATACTGCAACAGAACAAAGAACAAATTGGAAAGAAACTGTTAAAATGCTCCAATTTGACAAATTTGGTGGTTAGAGTATTTATTCTATCTGAATTACAGAATAATTTAGGTTAGAAGGCACCCTCAAGGAGGTCGTCTGATGTAATGTCCTGCTCAAAGCTGGGACAACTTCTAGGATAACTCAGGTTGCTCAGGGCCTTGTCCTGCTGAATTTTGAGCCTCTCCAAGTGATGGCACTTCTGCAGCCTCCATGCACAACCTGTTCCAGTGTTCAACCTGACATGGTACTAAAAAGAGACAGGCGGTAAATTTACTTTCCAGGGCGATTTTTATTGAAGATTACTGAAAACATCCCTGTAGTTTCCTGCTATTTTTCTTACAGTGAGGTTTCACATAGTGAAAGAGTGTTGATTCTATTTCCAGAAGAGAGATATCTTTATAAAGTTGCAATAGATCTTTATAAAGTTGCATATTATTGTGTGGCCCCTCAAAAAAATATATGAATAATTAATAATTAAAGTTTCTTTTTGTTAACTTTTGTGCTAACTTTTAACAGTTATTTGATGCACAAGAATATAATGTAATGGGCTCCTAACTAACACAGAGGATCATTACAGGTGATATGCTGACACAGTTGCTGGTTTTCTCAGCCCCACCATTACTAAATGGAAGACTGGAAAGCCTAAAAAGTGAGAAGTGACAGACAACAAGGTGACTAAGTTTGAGCTAAGTTTTTCTCCTGCTCTGCTGGACTGGAGCACTGCTACAACAGTAGGAAATAATGGAAATACTGAGCAAAGGGAATGGGATAAAGAAGACCCATGGCAGAAGGAATCTGATTAAGAGGAGAGAAAAAAAGCTAGTAGCTGCAGGTACCTGTACTTCATCACATTTTTCACTGTTTTTTGCTTACTTTGTAATATAAGTCAACAAGGACAGAATTACTTAATTTTGCATTATTAATATGCAGATGTTTTGTTTGCATTTTGCTTGTGAATAACAGTTCTAGTATCCATTTCGTGCAGATGTATATTCAATGTTAGAACACTTATTGTGGGTCTTGGAATCAAGTAGTGTTTGCTGTACCTGAAGGAATCGGTGATGACCGCAGCACATGGGATGCAGAACTTGAGGCATCTGAAACTCTCTTGTCAGTTGAGAGAACAGCACTGTATGGATGCACAAGGAGTCTGGCACTTTGAGTTACAGACAGATTTTCATCCATGCTCTGGCTGCTAAGAGAGTGCAGAGACCCAGAATTTCCATCTTAGACAAAAAAAAAAAAAAAAAAAAAAAAAAACAAAATAAAAAAAAAAAAAAAAAAAGAAAAAAAACAAAGGAGAAGAAAAAGAAAAAGAACAAGCTGTATTACTTCTGTGCACAAATAAAATATACCCACCGGAGACTATTTAGAGCAATTTCACAGAAGAAGTAATAAACCAGCTACTTTTACATGATATACAACGAATTAGTCCCTATACTCAAATTCTGAGTACATTTATGCCCTCATATTTTACCAGGGCCTGACTATGGTTTGGGGTCCTGCTTTATTTTAAAGAAATATTAGGAGTATAAATCTGGTAGATGTGAACTTCAACAAAAAAGCTCTGTTTGAGAGAAAGTTTTTGTAGGGACTAGAAGAACAAAATAAATCCTTTGAGTATTTGGAGAGGTAACTAAAAATCAGCAGGAAAGCAGACTAATTTATTTTGATGAAGTTTGGCAGTGTAACAAAGATGAAAATATTAAAATAAAGATTCAGATGGGGGAAAAGGACATGAAGAGCAGTGGGAGAAGTTAGCATTCAGTAGGAGGCCAATGGAAGCTTTTTGTAGACCATCAAAACAGGGTATGACTTCATGAAAGCTTCATGTAAACTTTTGCAAAGAAAAGTAAAAAGTATTTTTACTGGGGGGAAGTTTAACTGTTTCTACCTTTAGAATTTTTTTTATAGTAGAAAAAGATGACAGATATGAAAGCAACAGTAGGAATGACACAAGGAAGAGATAAACAGCTGGTAAGAAATTACTACAGAACATGTGCCTAACTCTGCAAATAGCTTTGATTAGACTTTCACAGTGTCACTTGATAAAGACACAATAACTAAGATGTTAACTAACTGCAAGAATTCAGATGAACATGTAAAGACACAGTGAGGTAGCCCCATGGACAATTCAAGATTACCTGTCCAATGGGGAAATTTGAAGTTGTATTCCCAGTTCTTTCTTGACCTGTAGAAGAATATGTCTGTAAGTACACAGAGCAGGAATAGGAAAATGTGGAAGAAAGTCCATTCTCAGTGTTTTGAACTGGTGGGCTAGAACTCATAGTAGCTAGTATTTTATTTCATGAACAAAGGAGAAAGTTGGGCAGAGCTATGTACTGTGAAGCAGCAGATATTATCTACTGCTTGAAAAAGGGGATCAGGACACAACCACTTTGAGTGAAAGACCATTTCAGGAAAGTATTTCAAGCAGCTATCCTGGCATAGATTGTTATACATTTTCAGGCACACATATTTAATTTCCTAACATAAAGACAAAACAACTGGGATTGTATTGTAAATGCAGGCAAACCCAATGGGAAGAAATTATGATGTGTGACTCAGTTCAGAAGGCTGAATGATTTCTTTATTATAACTATGCTATAATACATTAATATACTACATAAAGGAAGATTCTAAAATACATACTACTTTCTCTAACTACCATATCTAACTCGTGACCCTGTTCATGAGAGTCTAGACACAGGTGGATTTGCCATCAGGCTCAAACAATTCCCACCAGAATCCAATCCAGCAATCACCCCAGGTAAACAATTCTCCAAGCACATTCCACATGAGAAAAACAAGGAGCAGAAAGAGAAATTGTTCTCTCTTTCTTTCTCTCTGTGCATCTCTATGAAAAATCCTGAGAGAGAGAAATGTCCCTGTGACAGGATTGTACTGGTATGAGAAAATGACCTGGACCAGTGAACACAGCATGAGAGAATGCAATCATAAAATCACAAAATTGTTTCTATTGGGAAGACCCTTAAGATCATCAAGTCCAGCACTACCAAGCCCACCACTGTCCCATGTCCTGAAGTGCCACATCTACACATCCTTTAAATATCTCCAGGGCTGGTGACTCCACCACTTCCCTGGGCAGCCTGTTCTAATGCTTGACAACTCTTTCAATGAAGAATTTTTTCTAATATCCAATCAAAAACTCCCCTGGCACAACTCAGGGCCATTTCCTCTTATCCTTTTGCTTGCTGCTATTGCTTGTCAGTTAAGAGGCCTCCACCAGGTCACAATCTTCTCTTAGGTAGTTGCAGAGAGCAAAATTTCCTCTCTGAGCCTCTTTTTCTCCAAGCTAAACAACTCCATTCCCTCAAAAAAAAAAAAAAAAAAAAAAAAAAGAAGGAAAAAAAAAAAGCTAATGAGAGTTTTTCAGAAAAAAAAACCAGATTTACTCAAATTACTAAAAAAGACCTAGGTAACCTAGAGATTGGAGTAACAGAAATAGAAAAAGAAGGAAAAATATGAAATCCAGACTTTCTCTTTCAAGCTGAGGCTAATGGTTAGAGGTGAGATGAGGAATAAAAACAAACCCTAAGAGGGTTACTCTGTAATGAAGGACCTTGTGAGAAAGGAAAAAGGAAAAATAAAATTCTAAGGTATAGTGAGTAAGAGAGATTTCGTAGACAGAAGAAGTTTGCCATGTCTTTCATAATACTACGTAGCCTTAGTTCACTGACTTAAGCTAGAATGTGCACCAGGAGGACTAGTTAGGATACTACAAGAATAAAGTTTATTTTACAGAGGGATTTCAAAAGAGTGCATCCCATTAATTTAGCAAAACAAAGTATATTAAAGGATTACTCTCTGTACCAAAAATGAAATGGAAGGAGAGAAAAGAGCTGTTTAAAGAAATACCCAAGAAAAGCTCACTAGGGAAGGGGAAAAAAAAAGGAAAATTGAAAACAAAGGCTAAAGGCTAGGCTAGAAGACAGGTCTTAACTCTGAAGAAGCAATTTTCTGAAAAAGTATTCTGACTGTAATGATAAAAAAACAAGAATCTATAGTCATTAACTCAGCTAGACTCTTTAGTCATTAACTTAAGCCTTGGTGCCATGCCAAACCCGTCTCTTGTTAGCGGCTACCTGGAATAGAATTTGCACCTGAAACAATTGCATCTGAGTTTGAAAAGCAAGATGAATGTCAATCTTGCTTTCCACTACAACACTACCTGATGCAGCTATTGGCAAAGTAATAACAAACTCTTCTGCATTAAGGTTTTATGGGCACTATTTTCACAAGCTTTACAGTATCTATACATAAACACAATAAAATCTAAGCAAGATCTCTATAAAACAACCTCCAGCTGACCAATCAGATTAATTGCACCAACAAATTTTCACTGATGCTCTCCAGAAACAGACATAATTCACAACGGGAATTCATAGCAGCATGGAAGGCTAATATTTAGCATTATCTTATGTGATTACCCTTACAGTCCAGGCTCATGCTCAAACTAATACTCCATGTTCTAAAATTCATCAAAACATACTTACTATGATCTAGTACCGATATCCAGCTGTGACAGACAAAAACTCTCTAACAGTTTAAAGTTAGAAAGTGTATTTTTATTGCAATGCTGGGCAGCGTGCGGGATAGCTCCCAAATACACAACGTGCCTTCCAGGTGATTACAGAGTCTTTTTATCCATGCAAGTATTGAATACACAAAATACAAATACATATTCATAATTTTGGTACATCCCATTACCCACTTCATATGCTAATCACTCCAAAAGCTATTAAGCATGCGTAGTTTGTTCCTTGAAATGGGTTGGTGGTCCCTTTCATGGGGAGGGGTCCCAAAATGAGGAAGTAAATGAAGTCTTCCTTGTTCTGACCTTTCTACCTTTTCAATGCAAATATGACAAATGAACTCTTGGTAGAACTCCCATTCCTTGTCTTCAATTGGCTTCAGAACAGAGGAGGCCCACAATTGTCTTATGTTCCTAAAAGCTATTTGTCAGTTTCTGTATTCTTCATTATAAACCCAGCTAACTAAAAATAGTGCTGACAAGCAATCAATTATTAGTTAACTACTAACTCCTTACTCCATTCTAGGCCTACTCATTTATTATGATTATTTTAATTAACTCTAGTAAGGCTTATTTCTAACTAAAATCTTAGCTCCTCTAAAATCTCTAAATTCCTTAAAATTTATGTTTCAATTAAGCTAGGTAAATATGAGTTCTTCATTGTCTGAGGTTTTTATGCTGTATAGATAAATGCTTCAATTGATGTATAGCCAAAGTACCCTGCACTTGCTTTCTGCCATTTTGTCCAGTAACTGGTAGTCCTTAAGCCTCCTGTAATTTATTTACTAAAGTTCTTCCTGTATTTACACCTTTCTGGTACACTGAGTAGAAGTTAAAAATTGTGTATCTGCTCAAACAGGAGTTGAAACAGGAACTGCCTGTGCTCTTCTACCTCTAGCAGAGTATCTCTGGTTTTGCAGCACCTCAGAATACTTTTTAATGTCCTTGTTTTATAGCAATGAAGTCAATAATCTTGTCTGCTTTCATACTCCTGGTCCCTGCAATGCCAGAGGACACTCTATTCCTTTGAAACATGTTTACATTCTGTCAAGGGAAGAAACGAAAATGTAGTTTTAGTTTCACAATGTTTTGCTATTCCACCTGGGTTCCATTTTATGTTTCTGACTTCTGATGTCAGCAAAACCTCACAATTGAGTTTTCTCAGGGAATTTTGCCAACTTTTATGCACAAAAGGGGACAGCTACAAAAGGTCTGTGCAGATAATTTTACAAAGCAGTCTGTTAGAGACATTTTTATTTATTGAATTAAAAATTATATAGAAATTTGCACTGGAAACTTTACTCAGCTTCTAGAATGCCTTAAAATGTGTAGCCTTTTTATATTCAGTAGTTCACAAAAAAGAAAAAAAGGAAAACAAAAGAAGACACAGTTAACTAATCTGCCAAGAGTATGAAGGGACAAGAAAATACTAGCTCTGCACTCACAACTCTGAATAGGAAAACAACACATGAGCCGTAGAGACTTCTCAGGTGATAGGAACAGAAAGTCAAAGCTTAAAAACACTAGTTTTTTACCCAGAGCACAGAGTTTACAAAATAGACTTTTTCCTGACATGAAGAGACCCAACTTTCTACTACAAATGCAATGTCACAGCGTGAATGTAAAGCTGCAATAGCAACTTAAATTTACACAAAGTCAAGAGTATCTCACCTGATGAGAGGATATTACACTGGGGAATAGACTTGAATTTTGATGTATCTGGAGAGATGCTCCGAAGGGGAAGTGCATCACACTGTATGGAGCTACAGTACGCTGGCTGAAAAGAAATCCAGGTGTATATTGAACAGCACATTAAAGAAATAAGAAGTTGCAATTTCTTTAAAAGAGAATCTTCCCGTCACCCTATTTTCCTTGCTATCTAAATGCTCGATAGACAGCACAATTAAAATACAGTAAATCAGAAGAAAGCATGTAATCCCAAAAAGCACATAATCCCAAAAAATGTACATATTTTCAAGGATGACAGCAATCTTGTATACAAGTTTAACTACTGGTAAGAACCAAAAGCAGCAGCAGTAAGAATCAAAATATAAATGCAAATCTACATTACCCTATACAAGCAAGCTCCATAGAAGTATAAGGGAGCAGGAGACCATCTCTTACTATTGGCAGGCATTGTGTGCTGCATTCCTCCTTGAGGGGATCACAGACTCACGGAATATGTGGAGTGGGAAGAGACCCACACAGATCATCAAGTCCAACTGCTGGCCCTACACAGGACCCACACCAAGATTCATTTGCCTGAGAGCACTGTGTAAATTCTTAAACTCTGCTGGGCTTGGTGCTGTGACCAGTTCCCTAGGGAGCCAGTTCCAGCACCTGATCACCCTCTGGGTGAAACACCTTTTCCTGATATCCAACCTAAACCTCCCCTGGACAGCTTCATGCCATATTTAGAGCTTTCCTGTATTTAGATACCCTTCTGATTTCTACATGCTCACCCTTTTCTATCTTCATATATATGGCTTTGCATTTGTTTCACCCTGGCTCAAGTAATGCATTTTATGCCTTTCCTGACTGCACACAAAGTGCAGAACAGCTCCCCTTACCAAGTTAAACTTCCTTTAATCTCTCAGGATACTGACATACTAAATACAACACATAAAGTATTTACCTTTTCAAGATTCAGAGGTATATTTAGAGATATCGGCTCCACATTTGCTTTCTTTCCACTCTTGTAAATACTTTGGGATTCATATAGTGACTGGAAGAGAAATATTTACCTATATTAAATTTCTGCTATAAGACAAGACAACAACACTTCACAAACATGTTTCACCCAGATACAAATTAGACAAAGGAAACTGAGGAGAAACGACAAAGGGGATTAGGCTTCTTTTAGCAAGTGAAAGCTACCAACTCAGTTGACCAACTCATGGCTGTAACAAAAGCCACTTACCTTTGATCTCTTTAAGAGAATTACTGCTTCCAGCATAGCTATTTCATCAAATGTTCGCAGAACTGGCTCCAGGTCTATTAAACATTCTAAACAAAAGAAGAGTACTTGGTGAATAGTTTGAATTGGAAATCAAGTTTTTTACTGTACTAAAGTGTCTTTCTGACATTTACAAAAAATTTGTCTATTGACACATATCAAACCACTTATGCTGCTAAAAGAGAAGCTGCTTGCTTCTCTTAGAACAGTTCACACCACCAAAAGAAATATGTACCAAGAGATTCAGGATAATGCTGGACCAGGATAATGCAAGTCTCACACTCATGGAATGGAGAGATTGTTGAGTTTGCTGTGTTTTAAAGTAGCCCCATCAAGCCTGATTAGCTGAATGGGACCCAAACACCGTAAGACCTCAGAGAGGGCTGCTGTCTTCCAACTCCAAATGAGGTGGTAAAGATTTATACCAAAAAAATAAACAAACACACCCCCAACACAGCAATATCCAGAATACATGCCTAAGGCATGAGGCAGGACCAGAGAAGATGGGATAGTCAAACCACTAACCTATCCCATCCAGTGAAACCAAATGACACTGTCCTCAGTGTCTGTGTCCCTATGCTATGGTAATTGCTTAAGTTCCCCATCAGTAAGCTGGACTTCCCCTAATTTTGCAATAGTTTTGCAACTTCTTCTTTCTTTTTATGATAGTAAAGTAGTGGCAAAAGCAATGCATATTTTTTTTTCAAAGACCATCTTACTACACACATGGCACTAAAAAGAGAATTCAAGTTAGCTCACACTATAGTACATATCCTAGATAATTTTCCCTTCAGTGTGACCACACATTTAAATTACTATTTTTTTTGGTTAATTGGCATAGGAAAACAAGAATGCATATGGAAATGTCACAATGTGTCTATTTTTTTTTAATTATTTTAGAAAAATATTGCATTTAGATCCATTTCCTTGCTTGGAAAAAATCCAGTTCTTGCCTGATAAAGGAGATGCAACAATTAACGTGTCAGTGAAAGATTTACACTGACATGCAAATACAAGCTGAAGTCACTACAACTTATCTAATATGCAGTGGTTCATTGGTGTTGGTTGGGTGCTCATAAATCCCACAGTTTTATACTTAACTTCTATTCCCCCCTTAAAAAACCCCAAATTATCTTCAACAATAAACAAAAAAATCCAGACACAAATAGTTAAACAAAACATGCTGCTTTTTTACAGGTAAATTAAGAGATTATAAATGTACAAGACTCCAACAACCAGCCTGGTTTTATGACACACACATAATTCCCTTCATAAAAGTTTGCTTATAAACATGAAGGAAGTAGCCTTGCACTTTATCATAAACAGCAAGACCAAGCACACAAATTTTCTGACGTCTTTAACACTTCCCTTTCAAGACTATAGCCTTGCTCTGTAAGTACCATGTTCAACAGAAATCTGGCAAGATAAACTCACTTAAGAATGATGGTCTTTCATCTGGGTTTTGTGCCCATCCACTTTCCATCAGTCTTATGATAAGCCCTCGATGAGGAATGTCCATTGATAGACTTCCTTCACTCAAGTCTAGTCTCTGTCCTTGTGACACGCTGTACATTATCTGCAAGGGGTTTATAACTTCTGTCAAAACAGACATTGTGAAGTCATTATAAATATATGCAATATAAAGAGCTTACTGTATAGGAGGAGAAATTCCATTTGCAGACATAGAATTTAAATAATCAAAATAAGGTTACATTTCTTGATTAAAGAAAAGGTATTCTTAATTTATGAAAAAACACTGTAATTACAAAAGAAAAAGATACTAAAAATATAGTCTACTTTGAAAATTATTTCAAAGTGTTCTTCAACAAGCTTAAAAGTTGAATTATTAGAAAGTAACCCCTATAATTAAGTCCCCAGGTTTCATGTTTAACCTTTAGGCAAGGCAGGAAAAATAAATTAAAGGAAGACATGTCCTTACCTTCAAATGGCTGTTTCCTTGACATCACTTCCCATATGATAACTGCGTAACTGTTTACAGTATAAAAAGTACAGAAGATGTTATTTTAGACTACAGATAATTAACAATACAATATGCTCAGTTTTACATTGTATTTAAAGCATTTTGGTAAAATGGTCCTACAAGCACACATGGGACTGACTACAGATAACTAAAATGGTGACATGAATATATGAAAACTAGCGAGTGACTTCATCTAGAACTAGTTAATACTATTAAGTACAGACAAGATCCATGGCATATAAACTCCTATTCCAAATCTGTATCAACTTGGCTCTGCTAATATGTTGTGAATTACATACATAGAGTTTAAATCTCAGTACACAAATTAAAGTGAGACCCAGAGAGCCAACTGCTCTGTCCTATACGCAATATTCTGGCATCTTCCCAGTATGGACTGACATTCCCATGGGAAGCTGGATATTAGCCTGGAGGATGGCTTTGATCCAGAGCTCTATCCCAACACATCCTCACAGAGATAGGTAAGATTCAAATTTGCACTTGGGATGCCCACTCCTGCTTCCTCCCTCCCCATATATGCTTTCAACATCTGCAGTGTTCTCCACAGGGAGAGATGTCACTTACACACAGCATTCATATTCCAAAACAGACTCTTGGGAAGACTCCTCTGAACAAATGCCATGAGATTGAACACACATATGCTTCAATGACCTTCTTTTCCATTCAGACCGACATGAATGGCAAGTGGTTCAGTGAGTACAAACTTGCCCCATCTTTAGTAAACCAGTCACTCTCTTCAGCCATCAGGATATATCAGAAAGAGGTAACTTTAAACAACTTCACAATTTAAATAAGGTTAGCTGATTTCATTTAAAAGCTGCATTGTCCTTTCCAACTTTTCCTCACATACTCTACCACATCTGAATGTAGCTCTATTCCAGGAAAAGCTCCTAATATTAATCACAGCATTGTATTCAAGTATCTGGTTTGGCATTTACAAAAGATAATCCAGGCTAAAGCTTCAGTGCTTCCATAACTTCAAAATGCACTCGAGGTGCTGACAAGCGTGTATTTCCATGTTTTCAGTCCAGTCTTTATAAGCATTGTGGCAGTGTCATTCCAGAAAATAACCACCATGACCAGCTGCTTCTAAAAGGCTTGCTCCCCCACCCTTGGTATGTATGTACTGAGCTTCCTTTCTACACCACTAAGAAGTACCAAATTTTGCATACAGGTTACATTTAGCTGCCTTAGAGCACATTACCATCCAACAGCAACCAAGTAAGAATTCAAATAAATGAAGTAAAAACAAATAAATGATGCCTAAAATCAAATAATATAAACTAAATTTTCCTAACTATTTATTCTTCTTACATTTTAACATTCTTCAATGATGAAATGTATTAATGTAGCTTTTAATAAAAGCAGTCCTCCCTGTTAGAAAAGTCTGCTTCTGATGTATTCTGGCAAATCCATGCAGGTTGACTTTTTCGGTATAACAAATCATCCCTTTTGTAAAAGTTAAGCTGCTTGACTGTAGTTTAAACAATTTGTTTCTTTAAGAAAAAGCCTTCCTCACAAATTACCTTTAACATCTCAACAACACTCAGCTGTGATCAATTAGTTTGACATCCAGAAAACATCCAGCTATTTAATAATATCTTTCATTCAGTTTGGAATCTCTCTCCAGTTAAATACTATTTTCTCAGTTCTACAATACTGCAGCATTCCCCTTTACACTATTCTTGTTTTCCTTTCTTATTTCTACTTTGTAGCATCTCCTTCTGATCATGAGCATGGAATCTCCTGTGTGGCCTTTCTGGTGGTCCTTCACTGTCATTTCTTCCTGCCTTGAACTCCTCTCTTTCCAGTGTTGTCTCAGTCTCTTCTTTCTTCTCACATCATCTCTTTCCTTCCTAATTTATCTGTTTTTTATGTCTTTCTAATGTGTTCTCATATTTTCTCCTATTTGGTTGTTATTCCTCTGAAAATATTATTTTCTTTCTAAGAAACATTTGTCTTCTTCCTCTCTACCCACTCATTAAGCTGCCAGTCACCCTTTCTTTCCCTTCAATATCCCTTTTTTTCTTTTCAGGGTTTTTCTTATCCATATCTTCTCATCAAAGGGTAAAGAAAGCAGGGGTGTTGTCATCTGTACTCTTTAGACAGGAATGTCAAGGAACTTCATGTGTTTCTTAAGGGTAAGGGCTAATTAAGGGAAATAGTGGTTTCCCTGGAAGTCAGTAGGACCCTCTGAGACTGAGTCATCTCTCACCAAGATATAACCATGAAAGACATCGGTGAAGGTAAAGGTGGCAAGCTGCACCAGAATGATGTAACAATTTGACTTTGTCACAGGGATTGGCCAGTTCATGGCTCTTCAAACTTCCTTTACACATGATAATTCCCCTCAAAGTTCTTCAAGTAATCTCTGAGCTCTCCAAACCATTTTAGACCAGACAGCTGTAACTCAAATATCCTCAGAGAGTTTTTCTTTTGTTATATGGGTTACCACCACTCTATTTACTATTCTACTACTTGTACTCAGGACAACACAAAACTACCACAACTTTCATAAAGTAAATTATTTCTTAACGAAATTATTGTAACTACTTTCTCCAACTCCACTACCCTACTTTTATCTACCTCCTTTCCAAAAATACATTTTCTTCTTTCACCCAAGTACATTCTGAAAATTATGTTATTTGATTACACAAAGTCTAAGAGTATGTGCAATGACTGATGGTGTGAATGGCTTTCTTCTTTCCCTGCACTGTCTGTATGTGTACACTCATTTACAGAAACCAGTCCCCCACCTACTTCTGTAGTCTCAGCTTAATTTTGGAGCATTACGCTCATCACAGCATAAAAGAAATGAGTCATTAAGTTCAGCTATCACTCAATTCTTTATTTCCAAATCCATTTAGCCTACATAGCTATGATTATCTCTGAAAAGAATAAAATTGCTGAGGATATGTTAAAATCTAAGTTCAGTAAATCATACCTGAGTTCAGATTTCCAGCCCCACTAGAGAACAACAGGAATTACCTGTAGATATCATGTTTCACACTTGCCCGGGTTTTCTGACTGGGGTTGTAATCCTCAGGTGGCATGTAGATAATTGTCCCTCCTTCTGGCAAAGAGGATTCACTTCGGGACTGGGACATGGATACGACACGCCATTTGGACATGCCAAAATCTGCAATCTGGAAAGGTCAAATCAGTTGTTCTGAGAAGAAAAACTGGTTTTATCTGCTGACAATTGTTAGAAATTCCTGAAATACATCCAGAAAAAAGAGTCACCAAAAGCTCTTAACCTGACACACAAAAACTATGTGGTTCTCCTAGCAATAGGAAATATCAACTCCAGTCCATAAAGCATTCCCAGGTCGTGACTCATGCTATCCCTATAGCACTTCTCTATCCTGTGATTTTAAGGAAGGACTCATGTGCACTCTGGCTGAGGAATCTGCTGTAGATAGCTGTGCCATATGAAGAAAATCACTTCCTTGTGTTAAAAAAGGCAAACAAAAAATCATTGATTACTTGTGAAGAAAGCACAAGCTTAGTATACATAGTGTACATAACTCAGCTTGTCAATATCCCGAGGCAATTGCTCTCACAGAATAATTTTTGGGCACTTCACCTCATTCCAAAAACTATGATGTATTAATCCTGAATTAATAAATTTGATATTCTTTTATTCTGTGCTGCAAAAAGTTGCTGAATATTTTCTTTACTGTGCACTCTGGGGCCTTGCTCCTTTCTACAGGATACAGTGCATCTACATGAAGAAGTAATTGACTTCTGTTTACATCCTCAGACATTCATGAGCCAGGGCACCAGATGTCAGATTAGGTTATGGATAAAGAGAGAAACATTTAGCAGAATGCACCTGCTGGCTGAGCTGCAGTGTCTGGCATACATGGAAGATAAGCAGCCAGCTCTGCACTTGTCCAGCATTTGCACAACAGCAAAAATATAAAACATTTTCAACAAAGAACCCTGTGCAAGAGCTGTACCAATTAAGGTAACAGAAACAAACTTTCTGAAGAGCATACATCAAAATCCACAGTGAAAAGTAACCTTTCTTCTCTACAACTCACTCTCATGAAGCCTTCCTCATTGTAATTACTCTTAACTCGTGCTCATTCAGTTAATCAGGGACAGTTAGAGGCACTCTGTGAACGGCGTTACTCTTATACATGTATAGTATCTCTTCTAACTGGCATGCATGATAACCTTGTCTGCATTTCCTGTAAACTGTACTAATTTAGAGACTCTTGCTTCACTTAAAACCCTAAGGACACTCCTTACAGGAGGCAGGGCAGGTATGCAAGAGTTAACCTCTTCCCTTCAAGTGCCTCAGCAAAACAACTGTTCATATATGATCAGGCAGAGCATCAGGCCACACCAAAGCTGTTAGGGATAAAAAAATGGTTTGGACTAGCTCCCTGATCAGGTTTATCAGGAAGCTCGAGAGATGGCAATTCCAGCACAATTGAGTGGGAGGAAGTATGACCTGCTGAGGGTGTGAGCAGGGACAAAGCCATGTGAGGCATTTTGCTGCCAAGAAAAAATTCTGTGCAATGGTGAAAGAAGAAACCAGTACTGGATCTTTGCTCAAAGGACTCACAAGGAGAGTCAACTTACAGTAGCAATTGAAACATTTACTTTTCAGTATAAATTTGGTGCGAAGTATCTCTTATTTCCATTTACTTTCTATCAATTCTATCAATTGTAAAGCCAGATCTTTTCAAAGTAACAAGAAACAACAAAACCTACTCTCGCAATTATGGAAGCACCTAAACATTTTGTCAGAAGTACTTTCAGTCGCTCTTTCCACATCATGGCAGTGATATTTTAAAAGACAGAAGTAAAGTTTTTAACTACTCATACTTCTGCATATGTTTGCGTGTTCTAAGGAGAGCTTCACAAAAGCCACCTTCCAACATAGTAAGATTTCAAAGTCCTGTTTTACATGTTCTTATACAGCATCAACAGAACAGATATGTCCATATTGCATTATAAGTATCAAATGGAGCATTAACATTTGAATTTGACCTACTGCCTATAATAAGTAACTTGTCAGAGCATCTCAGGCAAGAACACTTTCTATTTTCTTCTCAGGAAGTGCCAGATGTAGCTAGCCTTGGAATGCTGACAAACAGGAGTGTCACCACTATTGAGTATCAGCTACTGCTATAGCAGAAACAGCCTAAATTCTATCTTTCTGGTCTTCTCATTCAGATAAAATATAGAGTTTCCAAAAGAAAAAATCCGAAGTTGTGTCTGCAAGGATAAAAGAAAAAATCCACCATACAATTACATCCTCTCTGAATGGCCACAACCTCACCCTTCCTCCTCTACAATAATGAAAACACTTTCACTCATTCTGGATGCTGAAGAATGTAAGAATTAAATAACCCTACCTTAATATGAAACTCATCATCCAGCAAAATGTTCTGGGTTTTTAAGTCATGGTGCAGCAATGGAGGATTCATGTTGTGCAAATAGTTTACTCCCAAAGCAATTTCATAAAGAATACGGAATCTCAGGCACCAGGGAATGTTGGGATATACATCTTTCTGCCAAGATAAAACCACAAAACTAGAATATAATCCTCTGTTTTAACAGCACACACAAAGACTTATTTTATAAAAAGTAGAAAGCGTCTTGGGCAAACAGCAATCTTTTAAAACATACATTACACAAACTCCTTAAAAAAACTATAATGGTGCATTAAGACTCATTAGCTGTTAAAAGAAACATTATCAAAAAATAATAACTATGCAGTGCCATGTTTCCATTCCCTAGCATTCACATAGTAGTTCATGACTGCTATACATGATGTTGAACATTTACTACACTACTCATTCATATGGAAATATGAATTACAGATGAACTTCTGCATGAAACTTGTAACCCACAATTTATAAGTCCTACACATAGAATAGCAAAAATCATATCTGCAATTGACATTGGGGAACAAAGCAAAACTGTATTGAAACTATGCAGAAAATACTACCTTTATAAATAATAATACAGCAAGAAAAATGAAGTAAAACTCAGCTGAAGTCTTAAAAGTTATATTGACATTAATGCCTTTCTGAAAAACATAGCTAACCTCTCCAAGGCATGAGATGTGTACTGATTAAAGGTAGACTTTAGTTCTATTGAGACACAACTGCAGTAGCTTTGAATAATCCTACCTCTTTATATTAGCAATATTTAGCTTCTATAAATGAAATTCAAAATCTTCATTTTTTAAAAGAATATTCAAACTCATGAAAAAAGTCAATTGTATTGGCAGTAATTTAGAAATCCAGACTGAAGCAAGCGTAAGTATTTCAGAATCTAATTAGAGAACAACTGAGATTTTTAAAGTGACTATATGTGATAATACAACATAAATCTTGTTATAGGTCACAACATTAAAGGAAAAAGTATAACAAAACTTAAGTCAGCTGAGTTTTGCTGTGTTTTTGAGATACAGAAGGTCTGAGCACCAAAACTACTAGAGATACTGTCTTCTAACATGAAATATTATACATAAAATACTTTACTATACTAATTAAGTATGAAAATTGCAATCTACTTTAAGCAGCCAGGTATCATATTTAGAGACCACAAGTACACTTACCCCATGCAATAGCTGGTTTAATGACCCATTGGTCATGTATTCTGTTACTATCCCCAGAAATTCAGGCTCATTGCAGATTCCCAAAATTGGCAGTATGTAACTAAATCTGGCTTTGTGTAATATCTCTGCTTCTTTTAGAAGGTGGTTTCTATCGCTTAAAGAAAACAAGCAAACAAATAAAATACATTACTAGATCAGTACGATGAAACATCAAGCAAATGCTGGGCTCACTATATTCTCTGTGTAATTATATCCCTGTATGCGCCACCTTTTCACCACTTGATTTCTACCATGCTGCTTTGAGAATAAGACAGTGTAAGACAAATCAGAATCTGCAAATGCAGAGAAGACAGCTTCCCTGGTTTTTCTGTACCACACAAATCTATTTCCATCACAGATTTCATCCATGTTTCCAATAAATAAGGATAAAGTCAGAACTTCCAGCTTCCACCATTCCTTGTAACCATAAAGGTAACAACCAGCTGCATTTGTCCCATTTTACTGAACACCTTCAAATGCCGAGTTTTCACTCAAGCCCAATATTTATCTCTTAGAGAGTGGAGATTTTAATACAATGATTCTCCAACCATTTAAATCTAGTGGACTCTGATGTATACTAATATAATAGGGGCTAAAGGAATGCACTTTTGACTTCTGAAGGAAAGTAAGTTCCTTTCTGAAGGAACAATTAACTATGCTTTGTTTTCACATAAATTGCTCTCTCAAACAGCTCCTGCTTTGAATCACTCTCTGGAAAAAACATCCCCTGGATGCACAACAAGCAGGAATAGACCAGCCTCATGAAGGGCACCTTTGGATGCCTGAATTTGACTGTGTGGATCCCCAGAACTATTAATAAATGTGGGTTTGATGCATCTTCACAAATTCAGGCCTTGCAGCACATGGATTTGAGAAGGTCAAGTTTTATTCAAGATTGAGTATGATTCCATCCCTGCAAATAGAAACTATTTGGCATGCTTTATATCTCAAATAGTCTTGAAAAAAATGGGTTTGTTGCCAATGAGGATAGTTGGATCATGAAACATAATTCAGCAAAAAAAGCTTTTAGATCTTAGTGGAGATTGGTACAAGTACATGACTAGGATATTCAAATACAGGACATTTACAGCACATTGATCCTTTGGATGTGAGCCAGTCTGACTCAGAAGCAATAGGGCTGTGCTGGGGCCAGGGCTATGCCCACCATGACTGGTTCAGCACAGCGCTGTGTTATGTGCACAGGGCAGCTCCAGGGTGAGAGCTGGCTTGTGCCCACTGAGCTCAGGGCACACCCCAAAGCACTCAGGGCAGTCTGGATCCAACAAGGTGGTCTTAGCACTCACAAAGAAAAGGCTGTCAGGCTATATGGGAAAAGAGTGAACTAAAGCCTGCAGCTCTTCGCAGCAGGCAATTTTGAATTTAGATGGATATAAAATTAAGGTCCTTTTATCTGTGTGATGGAAAAAGATTTATAGGAAATGACAGAAGTAAAAAGACAGCCTTTGATACAAGCATGGGATGGAAGAGACAACTCTACACCTTCCTCCCTCTCTTCAGAATGAGTAGGTTTGAGAAAGTTTGGGGTTTTCCCAGACAGTAAGGCACATTAGCATGGGATTTAGCTGTAGCTGGGAAACAAATTGCGACATACTGCAGTCTATTCCTGTGCCTGTCAGTCACTTCACCTTTGTCTGCTCCATGCCAGAAGGGCACTGAGTAATACCTAAATGAGCACATTCCCACAACAGCTTCCCAACTGGCTTTGCTCTTTGCCTGGTCACATACCATATTCTGGGATGCACAGCACATGCTTCTCACTTGGGGAATGAATGGCATCAAGAATTCATCCCTATTCCTGACAACACTTACAGGCTGGCATTTCATATTGCCTACTGTACAATCAGCAAAGCACTTGCTGCTGAGACTCGGGTATAATGGATTTTTTTTTGTACCTTTGAGTTTTCTTACAGCATTTCTAGGCTTTGCATGATATATGGTGATGCCTTATTAAGGCTGACCTTAATTAAGCCTACCTAGGCTAGGCAGAGTTAAAGAATAAAGTAAGCATTTATTAGGAGGCCTCAATGGATACACCTTAGGCGGTACAACAACCCAGCCAAGGCTACACCCAAGATGAAGCCAAAATGGTCACAAAACGCACAACCAGTCACGAGGTCTCTCACTTATAAGTTCTGGTCCATTAACATATTGGAGTTAATTGTCCAATTATAGCTTTAGGTTATGAAGTCTGATTCTTCTTGTTTTTCTCCCTTCAATCCATGTTGTTTATACTCTTGGGCCTGAAATTTGGGTGGTTGTCCTTGGTTCCAAGCTAGGAATGGAACTGTTTTGCCTACCTGCTCTGTGAAGAGAGCTTACTATCCCTTAATATGAAGCTCAGAAGTACATCCTAAAGCAGTCCAGAATCTGAGAAATATAAAAGCTAAAACCTAAGGCATCATGGTGGGTGACTGAATTATTTGGATTACCTCACTTGCCCTTCTAATCATAATTTCACAGGTTAATATCCCACTAATCCAAATTCTTACAAGTCTAAAAATAGCCTTGGTTGGTTTCTCTCAGCTGTGTTCTGAGGATAAATGCTGTATTTCCAATTAGCTGGGATTTAAGCACACATTAAAAAAAAATCCAAAACAAAAAATCCTCCACAACACCCGTCCGTCCCCTCCCTCCCCCAGCTTATCAAAAAACACAACATAACTGAGATTCCATTTCTGGCTAGATTTCAGTGATAACGCCTGTGTATACACAAACCTGGGCAATAAGAGGTGAAAGAGCTTAAAACAACTTGTCTTATATTTGAGTATATTGAGTCACAAGACTAGAAGCCTTTCTGGGTGAAGCTATCCTACCTAAAGGTCTAGTACTAGATCAAAGAGACCTGAGGCAAAAGCTTGAAGACAGCAAGATAAGACTCATAGGCAGGTTTACAGTCAGGCAGGTTTCAAACAACCTAAGAAGAGACAAGTTTGCATTGATATGTTAACAAATTGGAACTATGGGGATTGAATAAGACAGTGATGAAAAAGTAAAACTTGATGTCGCCTTACATGGAATGATAGCTCCTGTAATAAATATGCTGCCACTTGGGTGCCTGGAAAACAGGGAACCCAATTGTTACACGGAAAATACCAGTTTTACAGGGGAGTCTACAAGCCTATTATTTTAAATCAGCTTCTCTCAGTACTGTGAGATCTGGGGAAAAATAGTAATTTTGCATGGTCTCAGAGAAGCTTCTTCTAGATGCAATCTCTAGTGAATAGAACAGTATACTCCCGATATTCTTTTCTCTATGTAAACACCAAATCTGCAGTAATCACTGTAGTTTAATATCCTGCGAATACCTCAGCAAAATGGTTAGCAGCCAACAGACCCAGCAAGAACTAAACTCTGTCAATCCCACCACGAGGCGGGCTCAAGGTTCACAGTGCAGAAGAAAAAAACTCCAAAAGAATCAGCTTAGTGTCTCAGAGACCGAGACCGAAACCACTCTTTTACAATAATCGAAAGAGAGGAAGCTCCAGGGCCGGTCCGCGCTTTCTCTTGGCCCAAGCTGAATCATCCTGGTGGGATCCCCTTTCCCCGCGGAATTAAAGCAAGGCTGGCTACGGAAGCAGCAGGATCTGACCCACAGCCCTCAGGCCGGCGGCCCCGGCCCGTCCCGGGGCTGGGTTAGGGCCGGGCGGGCTCGGGCCGGCCCTGCCCCGTTACCTGTCTAGCAGCGGCCCCTGCAGGCATTTCAGGGCCACCGGGACCCTCCAGTCGGCGTGCCGGGCGGCGGACACGGTCCCGTAAGCGCCCCGGCTGATAAATCGCAAGTCCGGGAGTTTGCTGGAGGGGATGGAGAGGAGGCCGCAGCTGAGGGCGCCCGCCCGGCCCCCACCGCCATCCCCGCCGCTCATGCTCGCACTCCGCCGGGCTCAGCGGGGCCCGGAGCGCCGCTCCTCCGGCCCCGTCCTGCCTTCGCCGCACCTCCCTGCCCCGCCTGCTCTCCAGTTGGCCAGCGCTTCTCTCCTCTGCCCCACCGACGAGGCACTTCCTCGCGGAAAAAGCGTCCCACGGCTCGCGGGTCGGGGAAGGCGGAGCAGCGGGGTGGGAGGAGCGCGCCGGAGCGCGGCGCTGGCGCGGCCTCGCCCTGCGGGAGCCGCGCACGGAGCGTCCCCCCGACCCCGGGGAGCCGCCGGGGCGCGGGTGGGCTCTGCGCTCGGAAAATGATGCGGGATGCTAGAGCCGAGCGCAGATCGCCGCTGTGAACTGTTCGCTGCATAAAATCACAGATTGATGTGGGTTGGACGGCACCTTAAAGATTATCTAGTCGCAACTCTGCCAGGACGGGACACACCTTCCACTAGACTTCCACAGAGCCCCATCCGGTGTGTACTCATTGCTCAAGAGAAGTGAGAAAAGCTTTGTCTCAGTCGCTTATCTCCTCCGCGCTTGTCCTAGGAAGATTTTTCAGGATAACAGTATTTCAAAAAGATCGTTTCGCAATTTCCAGTAAGTGCAAGTTCACCCTTGCCAATAGTAATAGAGAGCTGCCTGATACACGGATGTATTTATGAGAGCTTTAAGGTTGCTCAGTAAGCTTTTGTAATGCCTGTTCACCAAGCCAAGTTTTCACAGACTAGCAAAGTAATTTAACTTAAAGGTATAGATTTGTAGCTTTCCACAAGGAGTGACAGTTCCACAGGATGAAATAAATGTAAATAGAACAACTCGCCTTTCCATGTGTGTGGATGATGGGCTAAACGCCTGTGGCTTTTCACTTCTCTTTTCTCCCACTCATGGATATGGACCAGAGAATGAGGGAAAATACCTATGTTTTCAAGCTATAATATGTCCAATATTTCACAGCATTCATTTTAAGACATGGCAACAACTTTTCAGTCCTGTCTAGGTCCTAGCACTTTACCTTTATGACTTTTACAATTTTCTTGTATTTTGGATGATTTGTATCCTCCAAATGCTTCAGCATTATGAATCATGTAAAGCAATCAGTGACTTACTCTACTTTCAGTTTTCATTTAGTCCATGTCCTATAGACACACTAGGTGGTTTCCCAAAACTGTACTCTTGCGGCAATGTTTCCAATATACAAGTTTTGGGTATCTGTTTATGCATATCCCTCTCTATATTAACCATTAGTACCATTAGTCATACAATTCTAAATTTGGTGTATAAGGAAGATTTTGTTTCCAAAAGAAAATTATATGCCAAGTACAATTACCATGAGCTTGCATTATAAAACCACTGTGTAAATACATACTTACAGTCTTTGCCAATAAAATGTCCCTATACTTTAGATTTATTTGTGCATCTTGTTACTGTGTGCTGTGTTGATTTAATGTACATTTATAGTGTTAAGTACACTGACTTAAACCCCAGGAAAATTATTGTAATTCTAAAAGTGGATGTGGAGGCAGCACTGTTGGAGCAGTGCCATGCTTCTCTTGTCATGCCTATTCCAGCTACACTTTTCCTGGAGCTGTAGTCCTTGTGACACCCCAAACCCTAACCCCAACCCTAATGGCAGCTTGGGGGCGAGGCTGAGGTCCTAAGGTAGATTAAACTTTTGAAAAAACTAAAGTTTTTGTTAAATACTGTTTCTAAATTATAGATACAGTATTTATAGCATGTGGCAGATAAATAGCTGCCTGTGGCTTATTTCTTTGAAATTTAAACTTGTGAGATTTCCCACATAGTCCTTTTCATTTTTAAGTGTTGGATCTGATTTGTCCTTTCACATGGAAATTTCCTGAATATCCCCACTGATAATGAAGTAAGCAAAGTCCACAGCAAAGAGGATACTTTTTCTGTATATGGTATTCATAGTGGTTTGATTAGTGTTATCATAACTGTAATTTGCTTGAATTTAAACTGGAAAAAAATGGTTCTGAAAGGGTGAAAGCTATGGTGAGGGGCTTAGTCTTCCTTCAGCTTGTGAAATCTAGGAGGGCAGCTAGTTACTATGTGATCAATACATCGTGATGCTGACTTGTAAAACACTTTCCATTCTTTGTATCTCTGTAAAAGATCAAGTAAAATAACAGCTGAAATTAAACAGACTTTCCAGACTGAGGTGATATTTGCTTTTTGACATTCTTCCCTGTGAGCAGCTTAGTCTGGAAAGAGCTTTCACATTTCTACTCTAAACAGGTATTCACACTGATGTTGAGGAGAGGGTATAAAATACATATCTCTCCCTGTGCATCTCCACCTGAAAACCAGGCCTCTTATACATAGATACACATGCATCCTTTTATAGTCATGTGTATGTTTTTAAAAATTCACACTACCTGCATGTAAAAGACTTTTTTTTTCCAGTTTGTTACAATCTTGTTCCTCCACCAAAAAATTATAGTGCCTTCATTTTTATGGATATTTTATGGATAAGCACCACATCTAGTTGTGGTTTTTTTGCAATTCACCAGATTGACTGTGTTTCCATAATGGCAAGAATCTCTTTGTTGTCGAGATAAGATGTTCAGATTGAAAGAAGCTATGGTTGTATGATGATGATTTTATACCTCAAACAACCTTATTATATTTTTGCTGTTCGACTTAAACATGACAGACAGACCCTGTTACCTACTAAATAGTCTGAAAAATATGGGTGCATAAAAGACCCTGTTTTAGAAAATGAGTTTTCATTCAGTAATCACAATGCCTTTGTCCCTGCTTTTTATTTTGTGGATTTTTCAAATTTTACATAAAAATGGAGTTTTGGTTATAATAACATTTTTAAAAGGAATATTTTGCCTGAATATTTTGTACTATCCACATTGCAGGAATGAAGGACTTTGGTAGTAACCTCTTCAGTTGTGTTTGGTCTTGCTGAAGCAAGTATTTTTTTTTCTGAAATAATGCACGAGGTGGTTAGATTCTGGCTGAGATCCTGTTTTGCTTGCTGTCACGCTAGCAATGTAATGATACACTTGCTCAGATCTATTAGTAATGAGTACCACAACCATGGAAACCATCAGCCTTTGAAATCCTCTGTGTATTCTCCTGCCAGCCTCAACCAACCCTTCTTTATCAGCATGTGCCACACTCTAGGTGGGCTGTTCCTGAGCATCTGAGCTCTTTTGGAAGTTGTTGCCTATGGTTTTAGATGTCTGTTGACACAATTTTATATTAAGAGAGCTGCATGAAAGTACTTGTATCCAGCTATTACAACATGTTGACACTACCCATCTGACTGAATCGAGGAGCAGAGCTGCTGAGAACTTTTCTGGCAGTTTGGAGGGAAGGAGGGAGGGAGGGAGTGCTTGGGTTTTGATGCTTCTGAGTCACCTGGATTTTTATTTCTATGTTGTGCTAATGTTGGTGGCCATGTGGTGATGACACATCATGAGTGTAATACCAGGATAAACTCTAGTGCTCTTTTCAGGCCTAGCAGTTTGACAAAGCCACCTCACACTTGAACCATTTCAATGTTTATTTGCTATTTTCACTGAGCTTCCTCTTTTCTCCACTTGCTTGTGAGACCTGAGCAACTTTATGAAGATGGTTCTCATCTTAGCCTCCAGTGAAGCTTTCAGTGTGGAAGTGGCAGAGGCAAAAGTTTGACAGAGGAGGAAAGAAAAGAGGGGATGATTTTGAAAGATTCTCCTTAGACAAAATAACACTGTGGTACTCTTCTGTACCTTTCTTAGCATGTGGATTCTCAGGGGCCAGGTCCATCCTAGGTGCTGAATCCAATAAAAATGTGTTTGATCATTTTTTAGAAACAAGGATGACTAGCATGGGATGACTGTCATCCATCTGAAACAGAATCTGCATCAGAAATGCCTGTTAAGAGTAGTTCCTAGCTCTAATTCCTTAACCACAGAGATTATTGGGAGAGCAGTATTTCTCAGGAGCCAAAAAGGATTATTCTAATATAATTCTTACAGAATTATCTCCTGTTGGAAGATGACTGCCAGGTCTAGGAGGATTCCGTGACACCTCCAACTTTACAGGCATGGGTAGTATTAGGTGTTCAGTGGTCTGCTGCATTCAGGATTAGTCTACATGCATTTTTTATGCTGGGTATTTCCTCAAAATACTTCAGCATCCCCATTCCCCGTACTCCTAGGTTTTAACATTTATTTTGATTTTCAGTCTAAAATGCTGCTGTTCTTGGTGTTTCCCATAAAATTAGTTCAGCTGAAAGCTGAAAAAATTTCTTTCAGCAGTGAATTAGAACAAGTTTTTTCTCCCCCTTTTATTTTCTCTTTCAAAATTTAAACTATTAAACAAGTGCAGCAGATTTGATGCAAAGCCAACAGGTCAGGAGAGGGGAGGGAGGACAGCAAGATGATCAGAAGGATGGAGCATCTCTCACACAAGGAAAGGTGAGGGAATTGGGTTTGTTTATCCTGGAAAAGAGAAGGCTTTTTTGCTATTTGCAGCCTTCCAGTGCCTGAAAGGACTGTACAAGAAAAATGGAGAGGAACTTTTTATAAAAGCATGTAGTTACAGGGGAAATAAAATCAAATTGAAGGAGAGTAGGCTTAGATTAGATATCAGAAAAAATTATTTATGGTGAGGATGGTGAGGCACTGGAACAGGTTGCCCTGAGAAGTTGTGGATGTCTCATCCCTGAAAGTGTTCGAGTCCAGTTTGGATGGAGTTTGAGCGAGCTGATCTAGTGGAGTTGTCCCTGCCTATGGCAAAGGGGTTGGAACTAGATGATCTTTAAGGTCACTTCCAACCCAAACCATTCTATGATTCTATGATTCAAGGCACCTCCTGGAGTGTAACAAATCTGCTAGGTCTGTAATTTCAGTTCCTGGAAATACACAATGTATTGGAGCTCTGTCCTCTAGCTCGAATAGCTACAATTCTTTCCAAATAGCTGTCAAACTGTCAGTCGTGACAGAGTCATAAAGGAGAACAACATTCATTACTTAATTACAAGAATGCAAGGCAAGGTCTAGATAATCAAGTGGATGCACAGAACCAGGTGGGAAATGTGAGAATTAGAAATGTTATACATTTACTTTTTTTTTTTTTTTTTTTTGGTTTGTGTTGGCACTTAAATAAGGGGAAAATTGTCATGTTTGATAACACCTATGTGCTTTGAAATCAAA